AGTGTCCTTTCCTTCATTCCATATTTCCCAGAATTGTTACTTTTGCCTCTTACTTGGAGTATATGTTTTTTACACTAAAATTATTATCTTGTAAATCTGCCTTTAGGCTACTCACATAGCCCTACATTGTGATGACAAGATGGATGTAATTACTGGTTTGAGACAGAAAACCTGTTATGGAAGGCCAAACTGGGACAATGAGTTCAAGCAACTAGCTGAAAACCATCCTGGGTAAGGCAGGCTGGTTTCTAACCTTGTTAGGTAACTCTTCTCTCAGCATAAACAGTGGGAGGAGGGGGAGAGCAAACCTTTCTAAATGACCCTTTTAAAACAATTTCTTCTTTTTTGCTGTGTGGAAAGAAGATTTATGCTTAATGAAGATTTTAATGAAGAAATCTCGGAAAGAGAATGCCAATAAAATCTAATTTTTGGACAAGAAAATCTAATATTTAGAAGTATTTCAATATCCTGGCCTTTGTCCAGATATAATTGAAACACACAATCCAATTACTGTTCTGCACAAAGGACAAAGTAGCATTAATTTCCCTTGAAGATGGTTATTAAAGAGATAAACTGTGATTTTTTTTCTTATGATGTCAAGGATATGTTTGTTCCCCTAACATATTTGGCCGCTCTTGCAAGACTATGCTGTTCTGTTATTAGTTCATCTCTGCTGGCAAAGACAGTTCATTTGAACTTGGTGGATTTGCTAGTGGTCTGAGAAAAGCTTCTTTGTTCCTGAAAGCCTTTGAAGCAAGAATTTGAAATATTTTGTGTTCAGCAGTAGAAAATTCCAGAATCTTTGTGACTTTGTGATTTCCAAACACTTACCTGCTAATGCAAAATACAGGCTTGCACTTGGATGCAAGAAATACAAAAAGAAAAAGGAGAAAACTTCTTTTAAAAGATGAAAAAGACCCAAGAAAAAGCCGAAAGGGAGGAGATCAAAGAGAATACAGTAAGCTACAAGAATACCATAAAATTGCAAAAATAACAGTAATAGAGAATTCACTTGATGGAGGTCAAAATAAATACAATCAGGAAATATGGAAGATTAAAAGCGTAAAAAGGCCAAGATAGAAAATGTGACTTTTGAAAGACCTTTCATAGGATTCTACTATATAAACAAAACTTTCAAAGTTATAGTTGAAACATTACTTTTTAATATTACTTACTTCCGCAACTGTAGATACAGATGAGATAAAAATTATTTTTCTGCTGCTCAAGGGGGATATGGGCATTAGCTTTCTCTACTGGATCTTGAGGTAGTTCCCTAGAAAGCCAGTCCTAAACTGACAGAAAAATCTCCACTTTTTTTTGTGAGCCTAGATGCCCATGTTTATGGTCAATGTTGAACATTTCAAAGAAAACCTTGCAATGAAATAAGTATTCCTTATGAGAAAAGAAGATTTTTCTTGCTCTGAATTATAGAAGATCCAAGAGTCAAACGAGTCAAACGGAAGAGTTTCAAACAATCAGCTTTTAGGATCTGACTAAATTTTGGGTCCCTGGGCCCAGGTTGACAGAGTTCCCCCTGGATGCAAAAATGTCTTTTAGCAGATTAGCAGGAATACATCACTTCAGGTTAACCCTGGTGCAATTGAGCACCAGAGCAATTTGGGCATGACTTCTGGGGGCTATGGCATGGGCACCAAAATCATATCCACAGCCTCTCCTTTACATGAGCAAACCTTTTTAAACTCATTCTATCCCTTGTCACTTCCTCTGCATTTCTGCAGATTGAGCTTTCCCCAGCAGCACAGCAGATGTGTGAATCTGTGTATGCATACATGTTTTCAAACAGTGTGTAGTGTACTTGGAGGCAAACCCTTTAGTTTCTAGCAGACAACCAGGTTTACCAGCTCCTTATGTGCTTGTGCATGTATGAACACAATTGCTTGTTACATTTGTCATGTTCTTATTTTATAAGAAGTAACTTAACAAATGTTGTTATTAAATCAGCCATTTTAAAATTGGCTGTGGACAGAAAAGTGTTAGACTAGGTGGTGTTAGACTAGGTGGCACAGGGGCGGGGTTGGGGAGGACAGGAGAAGAAAACTCAGAAGTAAATCAGCATTTTGTATAATTTTTCAGGAAAAAATTAACTCAACTGGAGAAAAAGCACTTAAAATTTTCAGCGCAAGCAGTATGTTTGCCTCTCTGATTGAAAAAGCTGTAAAGATCAAAACTTAAGAGTTACCATTTAAAACATTTTGTATCCTCTAATATAGCAATCTAACAAATAATGTAATGAGACATAATAAACATGAAAGTATTAAAATTATTATAATCTAATATAGCAACACAAATTATACAGTACATAATAGAAATTATACAGTAACACAAGATGTTTCAAATGTATTTCTTAAAAGGCCCTTTGAAAAGATGCAAAGCTGAAGGCAGCCAAAAAGCATAGTGTATCAATTTCTCATGTTTGTTACTGCTATTCTCATGTTTGTTGTTATTGTGATTCCAGCAACAGCATTGGTGTATTCTTCTGTGGACCCAAGGCGCTCTCTAAGATCCTGCAGAAGACATGCCACTCATATTCATCAGTTGATCCAAGAGGAGTCCAGTTTCACTACAACAAAGAAAGTTTCTAGGCTGTACTTCTTAACTGTATAATAGATATTACCAGGCTGTGTATTTTATCCCCATCTTCTCCCATCCTCTACTCATTCTGCATCATTCAGGCCAGATATTAAGAATTAGAAATTGAAATAGGTGTATTGACTTCAGTAGAAAAATGCCATCCTATGCCAGCTAGATTTGGACCCTTTCCTTAACCTTTTCATTGTTTACTTAATGATGCCATGAATCCCTCTACACCTGTGTGAAAACACACACAAACTATAACCTTTGAAGGAAAAGGCATGAGTAAAATGGACATTTAGAACTATACTTTGCTGTTGTGTATGATTGCAGGCAATACATCCCTGCTGTTTAAATCATGCCCATTGAAAGCATTTCCTTCCTGGTTTTCTGGTTTTATACTCCCACTGCACACACATCTATATCGGCATTACCTTTTGTGCCACAGCTATATTATTTCTATACACTCTGTCAAATTCTAAAGGAGCAAATTTGTTTTGCTCTACCAAGTTATGCACCATTTAAAGCTGACATTTCCATGGGAGTGGTGTCTGTGTATCCCATGGACTAATAGGTACTTAGGTTTAATAGGCTAAGGGAACTCCAGAGATTTTTTGCACGCATTAAACAGATTTCATAAGACATGCAACTGAAACTGTGAAAAAAGTTTCATGATAGAATGACTGAGGTGGGAGGCACCCCTGGCTTCTATTCCAAAGCTCTTGCTCAGAGCTGATTCTGTGAAGAGAGAATCGACATTAGCATTCTTCCATCCCTCAGGAACCTTCTCCCAATCACCATCACTATGCAAAAATAAAGAATGGCAAGTTCGCTCAGCAGTTATGGATGCATTTTTCTTTTGTGTGGATGCTTAGGAGTAGACCCCTTCTGCCCTGTTTTTTTTTTGTTGTGACATCTCTCCTGTTCACATCAACCTGTATGCTTTATTTGGTGCTCCAGTCCACCACCTCCTTATTTGATTGTTGGTCATCTACTCCCTCCTCATCACACAACATTCCCATAAGCTAAAAAGGGGAGAAAAAATATTTCCCTCTATCCCAGCACAGAGAGTAAAAACGCTCCATATTTGAGCTGGACTGAGGTGTAACAGTTCACTAGCATCACATAATGCATTTATCCAGCCACATGATAAAAATGGGCTATAGGAAACATCTTGCATATGTCAGCATTTGAATGACAAACAGAGGGCAACATTATGTATGTATCCTTACACACAGACAAAAAATACCTATGAGAGGGGACATAACTGTATAGACAAAAGAAACAGAACAATAAAAATTATGCCAGAGAAGACTCCAATATTGCTTTAAATGTCTTCTACTAGGGGCTATGGCACGTGTGAACTGAAATTTTTTGACAATATACAGTTCTATTATTGTAGAATTTAGGGCAACGCATCTTTGTTTTAAAATAGTTGAAGTTTTTTTTAAATGCCTGACTATGTGAAATGATTAATGCAGAGCATACTGTGTTAGCAGCAGAGTGAGGAGAGAATTAGAGCCTCTGCCAGTTCACCTAGAGGCATTTATCTTTTATTTTTTCCCCTGGTGCCCATGCTGAGCCTCAGGGTAAGCTGACACATTTTCTAATATAAATTAAGCTTTTTTTTTTATGTGTGTTGAAAATCTTGAAGGAAATGAGAAATGTGTGTAGGCACCAATACCAGCTGCCATTGCATGAAAGAAAGAGGTGACAATTTCCTGCAGATTCTGAATGATTGTCTTAATGGGGTTGGATCGGAGGTAACAAGCACAAAGATATTGTGCTGCCAGAAAAACAGGATCTGTTCTCCCCCCAGCCTCATGCAACAAGATGTAACATTTAGCTTCTGGCTCAACATGGCATCTCTTCACTGCTTTGATTTATTCCCACTTTTGCAAATCACTGTGGTATGCTACAGGAGATGCATTTAGAGCCCTTGTTATAGTTCATTGAGTAGCACTGCTGTTATCACCACCAGAGAAGAATTTCTCTTGCATCAAGACTGAGTGACCTAGAATAAAGGAAAAATAATAATAATAAAAAAAAAAAAAAGTGGGGAGGTTTGTTGGATGAGGATGAAACTGCATTTAGGGTGAATGAAAATCCCTTTATTACAAATGCAATTTGAATCAAAATGGGAACTAGGAAAATTTGGCTTCCTGCCTTGTTTTGAATAACACTGAGCACACAGCAGCTATGATAATTTGAGTGCATATGTAACGACTCTATTATTATGTTTATATATGGAAACATCATTCACTGTCAGGGAAAATGAAAGATATCTTCATGGATTTGTCCATTCAGCTGCTTCAGCAGGAAGTGTTCAGCACTGTGTAGGAAAATATTATTAAATAAAATATAGTCATAACAGCACAGACTCACTACATCCTGTGACAGAAAACTAATCATAGACAAGGATCATAAATATACAGATTAATTACTTTGGCTCTTACAATAAAAAGAGTGCTATTATAATGATTGAAGTTTTGTTATGATAATTTAAGTTTATTCACTAGGAATTGTAAATTGAAATACATGAGCTTATATGTTCTGGCTTTCCCCCCTCTCCCCCTTCTCCTAAGTTGTCTGTAGTAGAAATTATTTTAGTAATTTTTTTCCTTAGTTTACACTAAAATATTGAAGAGAAACTGTCACTCTTAACAGAAAATCCATCATAGGATGTCTGTGCCATATCAACATTATTACAAGGGCTCTCCTGCTTCTTTCTTGCTTTTAGGTGTAATCAAATGGCTTAGTGGAAATACTGTTAACTGCAAAAAAGTGACAAACTTTTCAAAGGTTTAAGTGCTTCTGATTAGCAGGAGATTTTATAAGAACTGCCTCAAAGGCAGCTTAGTTGTCTTCAGAAAAATAATAAACTAAATTATATGGTAGATTTATAATCTCAACTGGTTAACAATTTCAGAGATTTTTTTTTTTCTTGATAGAAAATTACCTGAAGTTCTTCAGGAACAGAAAAAAGAAAAAGAAAAAAGTGACAATGCTTCCACCCAGCTTGCTCTATAAATACAAAAAGCTTAAATGAAACATGCACAGTCAACCAAGTAATGAGGAATGCAAACCTTTGAGGGTCAAAGCAGTACAGAAGGTGATGGGCTGAAAGGTGCAATAGTTCACTGAGTCTCCTGACACTTCTCAGGCAATCACGTACCACGTGTGGAGTCACCTTGGTGACCACTTACAAGGTGGAAGACATCTTATCAAGGACTGGCTGTCCTAACTCTTCCTAGTGCTGCAACCTGGCTGAGTTGAGGCTTTCCCACCTCAGTCAGATCCTCTATTCTGCAGCAGCAACTCTGACTCCTCCTGTGTGATCACTTAATTATCTGAGAAACTCCGCATTTCTGCAGAATAAAACTGGGTGTCCATTTCATTAAAGCTGCAGCCACATTTTTTTAAGAATGTCTACTTACATGTTACTGAATATGTTCAAATGAGAGTGGGCTGATGATTTGCATTTTAAAACTCTAACCAGTTAGGTCTATTTAACAGGAGTCTACTTGTCCTTCAACAAGTCATATCTGGCAGTGAAAAAAAATCTCAATTACACAATGGGTCTCAATATATGGGAACAAACGTGTTAGTTGACATGGAAACACACTTTTTCACAAAAGCAAGAAAGGACAAAAAAAGCTTAAACTCTTTAAAAGATATATTAGCATCCTTTCAGAATACACAGAAGGAAACAAAAGTTGTATAATATAACGAACTACTCTAACCAGTAAATTTTTTCAAAGGCTATCAGCTTCAAATATTTGCATCTATTATCTCTAAACAATAATGACTTCTAACAAGGTAAGACATTTGTATTCATTGAGGATAAAAGCCCTTAGCCTGCCAATACTTACACATGTGCTTTACTAACTTCAAACAACCTTTTTACTATCCTGGAGGACTAAATATGGTTTCCTTTGAAGCTCATGCACAGAGGACTGATGTCAGGCTTAAGGCTGGGTCCTGAAGGCTGATCTCTATTATTCAGCTATTGCACTACCAGACTGTCTTGATACTTGTCTAGAGACCAATTCTCTCGTAGAGTAATTCTGAATATGAAAGATAACTTACAATCACACTCGCCTTAAGGTACACAGATAAGATTGCACTTACACACTCTAATAAAAGGCCTGGATTTTAATGGTCTTGCAGCTTTTATTATGAAAAAAAAAAAAAAGAAAAAAAAAGTGGGCTTGGGGGGAGCTTTTATCTTCTTTTATTTTGGCCAAATGATGAATATGGAGATCTGAACATGTGAACATTTTATTCTGTGGATATATGCAAATAAGGAGGGGGCCAAATAAGAGCCTGTCCTCTGAATCAGAATTCAGTGTACTACTGACCATTCCCCACTATCACTGTCTTAATGCTGAACCTCCTGTGCCCTTGCTTGAGATAGGTTCTTTGCACATGTTTTTCCTCCTGCTGCTAAGGCAGCAAAGACCTTCACAGAAATCATTACTGTCAAAAAACTGAACTAAATGGGACTTTGTGAACAAAGATAAGGATGTGTGCACAAGCCCAAGCTAACACTCAGTAGTTGCAGCATGGATGCACACAGGAAATTTGCAAATACGTATCTGCTTTAGATATCACATACACAATTCCCTCTTACTGTAACAAGCACAATGAATTTGTTCTCATGTTTCAAGGAATTCATCAAGGTTCAAAAAAGGAAAGATGAATTCAAAAGGTCTCAGGCACATAATCAACCTGCAACATATCACAGTCATTAGTTATATATTACCATGCAATTGCATTACATTTAGATAAAAATGTTAAGATTGAAGAATGCCCACTATTTTATCACTAATATTAGTAAAATATCCATGCAATTTTCTGAGTTGTTGTGCTGCTAATAAAATTAGTGGGCTATTCAGAATGCATACCAATGCAGAGTTAGCCATTTAAGATCACCCTTTTTTAGATTGTTTACACACTGGCAAGAGGAAGATAGTTAAGAGGCACAGTTGGACAACTTTGAATATAATATCAAAGGACAAAACAAACAAATGTATTCTGTGATACTGGTCAACACTGAAGTTACTTCAAATACAAATCATGGGGAGAACAGATAGATTTGACTGAACTGGACTTTGTGTAATACAAACATGCTCAAATACAGTTTCTCTGACAGGAATGTACATCAACTATTTTCTTATGTGTTTGGCATTACAAACATGTTTCTATAGTAAGAAACATCAAGCATAGCAACAAATGCTGGCCACCCAACATCTATCTAAGCAAGTCCATCATCCTTCTATAACATTGTGCTTTCATAAAGGAGACTGAAAATGCTTTAAAAATGGTCTGCTTTTGGGAGGTGCTGAACTGAAAGTGCTTTTAGCAAAACTAAAAGAAACTGTATCTGCTCAGCATTCTGCAGAATCAAAACTTTAGAACTCAGACAACAAAATTAACAAGAGTTTTTGCCAAAATGAGGACAATAGAATTTGGGTGTTAGTCAATACTTGTGCTGAATGATATATTGCAAATATTTAACACTGAACTTCAAAGAAAAAAAAATTAATTCTAAGCTGTCTGACTTGTTTATAATGAAATAGTCATTGCTTTGCTACATGCTATACATGTAGCAAATACAATAGTCTTATTGCTGTACATATAGATAGTCATGAATAAAGTCTAAGTGGAGTTCAAAATGCTTTGAATGTTTGTTTTCTCACAATGCCACTATCAGGTATAAAATTTATTACTTCCAGTTTTAGTTGAGGAACTGAGTCACAGAAATGTTAAGTGGTTTGCCTCAAGCTCTCAAAAGAGTGTCAGGACAAGGATTAAACAGGCTTTCAGGACAAAGACCATACCTTGAACTGTTACAGCAATCTCTCTCTCTTATAGACTGTATTACATATATTTGACATGACCCTTAAAAATATAGGTGAACTTTCCAAATGAACATAAAACTGATTTGAATTTTCTGTTCTATTGTTAATGAGCAGCATGGTTTGAAAGGCAAATGTTTTGATTCTCAGGACCAGTATGATTCATACTTGCATTCCTAGATAGCATAAAGCATGCACATGAAAAATGGATCCTCTAGCAGACAATGAATGATTTCTGTGTTAAAATAGGAGATCTAAAGCAAGCAAAAAATATTTAACAGAAAATAAACAAAGTTTGGGGTTAATACTAAGAAATATTATTGAATATCTGAACAAGATTTTGATGATAGACTCAAGCCATATCCTACTCTGAGCAAAGAACACAGGAAAATACTTGTTGCGTCCCATAACAGGGTCCAGTTAAATATTAGACAGCACAGCATTACACTGTCAGGAGAGTCAAGATTTCATTTTCAGGTAGGGCAGTTCAGAAAATTTTCATGTATTAAACTTCCTCTTTAAACAAGTATTGTCAAGAATATACAATTAAAATAATAAAGCTAAATAAATAAGCAACATTCTGCTTCAGCTTCCTGGGATGCACTCATCATCTTTATGACGATTTTGAGGCAACACCACATTTCTGATTTCTGTCACCTTGCCTGTACTTCAAGAATTTTCTAGGATTGCAAAGGGGTATCTGGTTATTTCTTATGTCTATCCTCTATCAATAACTTAAAATAAATTCTAACATAACCAGATTTGACGTCTTTGTCACGACTCTTTATCACTTCACTTACTGGCTCCACAGTCATCCAGACTAGTGTATTTAGTTATTGCCCAACTTAAAGGTATATTAAAGCAGTGTCTTCAATAATGCTATTTACGAGAGTAAATTAATTCCTTCTCATTCTATTCTCTAGTATTTTCTATTATATTAATGCTAGGGAAGGAAGGATTTAGAACACTTCACCCTCTGCAGAATCAATCAGAAAACACTTATGAACATTTGCAGTTGTGATGGGAAGAACAGAACAGAAGGCATTTTATTATGCTGACTTTATCCTATTTCTTTGACTGGTGTTAAATAGCGTACAAAGATACAAGGCTCATCAGAGGAAAGGGATCTATGCATTTTCAAAATTCACTTCTAATAAAATAAATTTGAGGGAAGCAAATGTCATTCATACCTTACATACTAAGTTCAACTCCACTAGCTGCCACAAAGCACTGAAGCATACTGTTAAGATGAAGAATGAAAACTATTCTAAAAGACAATATCAATCTAGAAATTCAGCCATTGAAAGCCTGCTTCATGAACTGAAGCTAATTAATGCTTGCATGTAGGGTTGAACCCAAGCCATCAGAATTATAGCAGCTCCACAGCTGAATTACTTTTTTAGTATGCTGCCACTTAAAATTCCACCCAGTCACTTTAAAAGGATGGAGCACATGATTAAACTGTGATATGGGAAGGGGAAAAATGAACAATTAAAGTAAAAATCTCCCTAAACCCAGAGATTACCTAAGATATTTAAATACAGAATGACTTTATATTGCAAAAATGCTTTCTGCAAAACATATCCTTTAATTATCTTCACAGAGTTACTCCTTGTACATCCCTGTTTAGAAGATCTAGAAAAGGTATTTTTGTCAGCTCAGTCTTACATAGCTGCTTCAGTAAAGGACTTGAATATCCAAGTATCAAAGTCCAACAATGGCACCGACAGCGTGAACTATGCAATTTTTTAAACAGAATGTTTTTTGTGTGGAGATGTCTGGAAGAATATAAATATGAAAATATTAAAATAAAAACCAAGGCTAGACTAGGCAGACCCCTTCACCTTAGGAGGAGGAAAAAGCATAGACCATTCTTAAGATAACTATGAATCTACAGTATTTGCAGGTTATTTTCACATTTAGCAAAATGACTTTAACTTGGGACATTGTCCATGACAGTGCTTTCACAAGCCTTTATGTTTCGTTTGCATTCTTTGCTGCTCTTATTTGGATAGTTTGCTTTGAGAAATAGACAAGAGTAAGAATTCAGTATGTGTTTAGGCTGGGAGGAGATGATCAGATGAATATGGTTATAAAACCCACATCTGCTAAAGTCTCTAAATGATGCTACAGCTGCTGAAAATCATAACATTTAGTTGTCTAGGTTATCAACTACATCAAAATTATATTTAGAACTGCATTTTTCAAATGCATGGGATCATCAAAGGTAACATTTCAAAAGGAATTAAGAGACTAAATCACACTGGCTTTCAATGTGACACAGACATCCACGTGACATAAATATGTGACATATATAGATTAGTATTTTCAATACTAAGCTATGTCAAAGGCATGAGGGCTTTCATGGTGTTGGGAATCAGCACACTGTAATTGGAGGAAGTCAAAGGAAAGGGAGAGGCAGAGGAAGTACAAGAGGGGGCACAGCATTTCTAGAGACCATTGTTCAT